TCCCGGCGGTCCAAGCACCATCAGGCGCATCTTCGTGTAGGGCTTAGAGCTGACAACACAGACATTAAAAACAAGGAAGGGGAAATTAGAGATCAAAAAGGAGACAGAGAGAGAAACTGAAGAGGTCATAACGACATCAGTGGGGATCAGCACTACCATCAGAAGCACACATACACAGGACCTAGGATTTGGGCTTGGGTTACGAGGGCGTCCGGTTACCGAAGCCCGTGCTTAACAAAAGCAAGCTGTCGAATACGATCGGATCTATAAAATGTTTATGTCAGGAGTACTTTGACAGTCTCGGATCGCAGTATGGGCACAGGCATCAGTTTAAAGGAGTAGTAGCTTGAGGCACATATCCTGCAGCAGTTGTGATGAAAGTTATTTTGGCATGCTGTTCTTTCCTCGCAGTCTTTGTCTAGGACACACCTGCTTTTCGTTGGCGACATTAACTTAGGAAATCAGCTTCGTTTCATTAAATTACATGAATTTGACAACGAGGAACAGTCGCGATTTCGGAGGAGTACTTGCAGTTAATCACAAAACGGTACTGAGACACTTGCGTCATCTTGATTTTGTCCACACAGGAGCCCAATGACGATTCAAATGAACTACCGGAAAGATAGTCAATGGACTCATTGACGACCGCCATCAATTGTTGCAAAACGCATTGATGTTTGACTCTGATCAAAAAATTCGCGAGTTCGAGGATCTCAATCTCAATCTCTGCTAACAACTGGGCTGATTCTAACAATACGTTCAAGTCCCCGTTATTGGGTTGCCGAAAACTGACTCTGCTCCACCAATGCCCGACTGCACACTGCAAACAAGAGGCAGAACAAGATCAAATAATTGGAGGAGTGGTCAAGGCGTTTCCACCTCCGGTCTCTTCCGATCAATGCAGCACTCTTCGCAAGGTCGTCCATTCAAGTCATTACAGGAAGGAGAAGAAGCGTGCAAAGAATTCTTCGAGTCAAAGCCAAAGCAGATTTCAATACTTGCAGCTCAGCCGCAGGAGATTGGTAATATGGCCCTTATTTCTTAAGAGTAGCAGTTGTTGTTCTTTGTGGCCAAAACCA